CACATACAAAAGATGTGTTACAGATGCTATTCAATAATGAGAAACATAGAAAAAGGTTCAAATACTAATCTTAAATTAAGAACCTGGATTTGCAATTGAAAAGAAATGTGAATGTGTTTGCTTTAAAGTAAATAAAGGGAAGAAACCAAAGAAAACTGTAATGGGAAATGTTGAAAGTTTATTCATAGAGTTTTTAAGATTAAGGAATTTAAAGAAAAAATTGTCTGCACTCGTTGTGTGCATCATGTATATGATCACTTATCAATATTAAACTATTATCTAAAACAAAATGTCCTAACTAATACTAGTATAGGCATTTTAGGTCATTGCAGTTTTGGTCATCGTTTACTTAATGGCCTATTAGTGGCAGCAGCCAAAAGTGCCTAACATATGAATAACCACTATATCACGTGTTAGAATGTTATTGGCAATTTACTAAGTAACTGATGAGAAACACTCCTTAATTTCTCCTCTTTTTTTTTTTTATCATCTAGGAAATTTTATTAAAGTGAATGGATTATACTTATTAATAAAGAACTTTTATAGTCCTTTGCTTGATTGCAAACCTATAATTCTATTGTACATATATATATATATACATATATATATATATATATATATATATATATATATATATATATATATATATATATATATATATATATATATATATATATATATATATATATATATATATATATTTATATATATATATATATATAGACACACACACACACACACACAGACACACACACACAACCCTTGGAATTAAGAATAAAAAGGTTGGCAATTATTTGTCGACATCAATCAAAAAAGCAAAAAAAAGTGATTCAAAAGTCTTATCATTAAATATAGAAACAAGATCTACATTATTTGTCGACCTCGAACACTTTTAGGTTGGCATTGCTGCATGCCAACCCTAATTCCAAGGGTTGTATATATATATATATATATATATATATATATATATATATATATATATATATATATATATATATATATATATATATATATATATATATATATATATATATATATATATATATATATATATATATATATATATATATATATATATATATATATATATATATATATATATATATATATACATATAATATTATGATTATAAGTAATATGTTACTTTATAATAATTTTTCTGTTTTTTTTTTAAATTTATTAAAAAAATTAAGATTCTATTTTCAATGTAGTTATTTTCTCCTTAATTCTGCTAATTTTTCTTTCAAAAAGTTGACTTTCGTGACCAAATCTCTTTAAATAATAGAAAAATCTCTCCTTAAAATCTTTACTTATAGCGTCAGTCTTAATAGTAAAAGTACAAAATATATGTCAATAAATAAAATAAAAATGAGTTTTGCTAAAATTTAAAATTATTAGATTTATTTAAAATTTAGAATTATTAGTTATTTTTAGTTAAAATTAGTAGATTTTGTAGTATTACTTGAAATTTAGAAATAGATAGTGTGAAACATCAATTAGATACAAGTTAAACAGAAAAATTTAAAAAAAATAAAATAAATAATGCTAATGCTAAAAAAATAACCCTTGTAAGAATATTTTTTACTTTTCCATAAATTTTATTTACTTGTTAATTAAGATTTTATTTTTAGGAGTGTCAACTACATCAAGTGTCAGTTGATATATATGTTTTGGTCAAATACATGTTTGTAATTGGTAATATTATGATACATTTTTGTTTTGTATTTCAAAAACTCATATTGCATTTATTTAAACGCTGTTGCTCGCGCAACGGTACCGTTGCTTTTATTTCTTTCCTTAAAGTCACGGTAGTGAGCTCTGATTGGTTAATTTATAAAGTCACGGCAGAGAAATCTGATTGGTAGATATTAAAATTCGTGGAACTGTTTATTTGAATTTTCTCATAAAAACTCGTTATACCGTTGCTTTAAATTTTTTTTTACATCACGGTACCGTCGCACTAATTATTTTGATAACATTTTAAATAAATTTCCAAGTAGTTAAAAAGTTTTTATTTTTTACAAGTTTTGATTTATTTAGGCGTCAAATGCTTTAATACAATAACATAATATCATTGATTTACAGCTGAAAACTGTTATTACGTTGTATTTTATAAGTTTCATCAACTTTTGTTTGTTTACAAAATAGTTGCGAATATTCGGATTACTCTTAATTACTATTAATAATCTATTACTATTCATATTCGGATAAATATGCTTTCGCTGAAGTTCGCAATTTCGATTTTGAACAAAGAAAGCAGTTAAAAACTCATGAAATAACATTTCTTTAAATTTTCAACGATGACAGGTCGTGATTGGCTTTGTATTTTGATAAGGTTTGATCGGCTTTGTATTTTGATAAGTATTTTATAATATTTTATAAGTAAAAATACTATATTGAAAGCAAATGTTTTGACAATTTGGAGCATGGACGAAACAGGTATCAGCATAGTCCTATAGTCCTGCAAAGTTAATTACGACTAAAGTGTTTGTACAGAGAGAAAAACGACTAGTGATGAGCGTGGCAGAAAATTTAGTTACCAGTAGTATTTGTGCAAGAAGTATTTGCACCTCACTTTTTATATTTTCCAAAAGAACGTTGCATCACTGTTGAACTGATTTTCTTTTATTCAATTGATCTGCTGCCCTAAAGAATAGACTGAGAGCACAATTTTGATTCATTGGGCGAGACATTTTATTAAGTACTATCAAAATAATTCTAGTTTATTATCACTTAAAAGTTATCATAACCACAAGAAGTCGGAGATTCAGATCCATTTATAAAATTACAAAATAAATTTCTTAGAACATAATACAACATAAATGCTAAGACAAAGAAAACAGCTCTTTTATAATTTAAATACTTATAAACAAACTTTTAGAAAATTTATGAAACTAAAAAATAACCATAATAAAAAGCCATAAATACATGTATTAATAAAATAACAAACCAAGTAGCTGAGGTACTGTTATTTGTTTTAAAGCCTCCGCACCATAAGGTTGTTTAAGATTTTGTTTTTATTTAATACTTTTCTAAGCTGTTAGTTTATGAATCAAAAGCTAAAAATATCAGTTTAAGATTTTTAGCCATTGAATTCATTTCTAACAGAAGAAAGTTCAAAAGTGCCAAAAAAAGTTTCAAATCATAACCTATAAAATCAAAGAAACAAATTAAATTTCCGGATTTAACTTTTACTTTTTTTTTAAATTAAACACAATATTTCTATAAACTCTACACTATTAACTTAAATTTTAAGAAACTCTTCACTGTCATTTGTCATTTAACAAACTCTACACTGTCAATTTGTCATTCAACAAACTCTACACTACAAACTTGACATTTAACAAACTCTACACTGTCAATTTGTCATTCAACAAACTTTATAAATTTGATTTCATACTTCTAAAAATCCTTTAAAGGGTCAACTGATTAGAGAGTGGAATTAAAAGTAAGAAAATGAAAAGCATGTTAAAGAGACATAACAATAGCAAATGTTAATTTGGAATGGATTGCATTACTGAAAGACTATAACAACAAATTAAAATACTAAAAAAAGATAACATCAAAAAATAACAACTGCTACAAACTAAAACAAACAAATGTAACATTAAATTAAATACTATAATTACTTAAAAATATGGTAGAAAATCACTTCCTGTTGTTAAACTTTATCAAATCATTTTAATTTTTGTTGTAATATGAAGTTCATATTACAGCAAAATAATTTTAAACACAAACATTAGAAAAAATTCAATGGATGAACTGGCAACTCCTTATTTAAATAAAAGAGAATAAGTAAAGAAGCAACTTGAAGGGAAAAAACTTATTAAACCAATTAAAAAACAAAATCGAGTTTCTTAAATTTCTTAAATAATGTCATTTTTTTTAAATAACTGAAAATATTATAAGTGTTACTAAATATTCTTTTACTAATCAATTTCAGATTTATTGCAAATCTGACAAAATCAGAATTTTGACTTTCGTTTTTTGTTTAATCTGGCACATTCATAATGGTACCAATTAAGACACATGTCACAAGCTATTGATAATGCTTTGTTACTGAGATCAAGATGACATAAATAACAAGTCCAAAGTTGTCTCTTTTTTTTGTCTTTAATAACCTCTTCAACAACTTCCCTTTTTAACATTAAAATAACATTAAAATAGGGACGAACCAAACTAAGGTCAACATTTTCATCAAGGCATGCATCTGACACTTTTTCTGATTGACACTTAACATTCTCCATCTCTATTAGCTTAGTCTTACGAATTGCCATTTCTATAACTTGCTTGTTTACAAACCATGATAATATAACTATAAAACAAATAAACATGCATCAAAAATAGCTAAAGACCTATTTAAAATAAATCCAAATTTTAAATATATCTAGAAACCTTTAACTTTATCAGACAAACACATTTTGGTAAAAGGTATTAGCTGTTTACAGTCTGCTTTCAATATGTTTTTTTTCTTTTTTGGAAGTCCAATTACAGTTTGATCAATCCCTTTGGGACGACCTCTTTTTTTAAAAACTGCTGGCATTTTTATTGCTAAATTAAACATATAAAACATTAGTAAAGAGTGTATTTTCTAATCAACTTAAACAAGAAAAACATTTACGCAAAGAATTTGTTGCTATCTCCACTTTGGTAATAGCAACACAACCATTTTCAGTGTTCATTTGATCTGATTCAGGACACCCAAATGGACTAACTAGTTCTTTCATCGATTTCACTTCAAAACATTGATTTTGATTAAAATCTATTAAATCATTTTGTGCACTTGATTGATGATGCAAATTTGTATGAACTACTTCAATGGAATTAAGTTATGTTTGCATAATTTCAGTCAAAGCAACTTCTTTTCTCTCTTCCCAATAACTAACTAATTTTTGAAGTATTTCAATCCTTCTTTCAAAATGAACATTTGCAACTTCTGATGTCAGATTTGCAAGTTTCATGGAAGAACACATGGCTTTTTTAAACTTTTGATGTTGTGTTCATGTTTTCTTATTTTTTGTAGATTCTGTTATTGTAGTTGTCAATGTAGCACAGGATTCTTTGTTAGTTTTTTTAAAAATACGACTACTTTTTTTATAATGTTCAACAGACCAGCGAGCGTCGCATAGATTCTCATCAAATAAAGGTAGTTCAAGTACTTTCCGGAGATAAAAAATATGTTTACAAGGTAAGCGCATAGATAAATGAAACAAACAGTTGCAAGTATTAACTGAAACTACTATTTTCCCATCAGCAAAATTATATTCCTCATTTTCATTACATAAAAGTTCTTTGCTGGCAGCAAGCTGCTTACACACAAAGTCTGCAGCATATGTTGTTAAAAAAGAGCAGTATTGAACCTCTACAGATCCAGGTGGAAATACTGCTACTCTTCTTTTTAGGATAGTATTTGCAGTTGTATGGTCTTTTTCTGTACGAATTGCAGTAAGTATTACATAAAATTTATCTAAAAATTCTTCTAATGAACTATATCTAGTGATAACTGATTTAAGCTTTGCATTTAAACTCTCTAACCTGTTGTTCGTGGTATTAAAAAAATTTCCAGAACTAAACTTCATCCCCATTACCCATTTATTTCGTATATCATGCCAGTTAGAATTGCAATATTCAATTACTGGGGATGGAGCATCAGATTGTAGTTGAGCATAGAGAGCTGCATATTCATTTTCATTTCTGGAGTATGCAATTTTCTGTAACAATTCAAGACAAAAATTTCTTTGTCCTGCAGTTATTCCTAGCTTTTCGCATGATACTTCTCTTTTAAAACATCTCATGGTATGAAATAGACATATTAGAATATTAGCACCATTAAACAACTTTTTCATAACATGTCTTTCTTGGATGTCTTTGTCAGCCATTATCACACGAATATTCCTTGATTCAGGATTTCTTTTTTTAAAAGAATCAAAAAAGAATGTCAGACTTGATGCATTTTCTTCGGCTAAAAAACAAACACCAACTACTTCACTTTGCCCCATAGCATCTTCATTAAGCATCAAGTAAACAGGCATTCTTAATTTCAAAAGCTTGTATGTTGCATCAACAAAAAGGATCTCTGGATAAGCTTTGTAGATATTGAACATTAATTGGTCTTGAAAGAATAATCCTTTAAACACATTTGCATTATCTGTGAAAATATCAACTGTTGCTCCTGAAAAAACAATTTTATTTACTAGAATGATCAAACAACACAACAAACCATACACACAAATTTTGACAATAATTATTTGAAGACATATTTGAAATATACCATATTTTTCTTGGAGATCTTTAACAAACTTATCTAGATTATTTCTTGTCTCTACAATCTTTAATCTATTCTGAATATTAGAAAGATCTTTAAAAAGGACCACTTTACCAGTCTGTTGCGAAAGCTGCTGCTTTATTAGCTTTTTGTTGGCCTTCAATTTTATCATTTTTACTGCTTCTCTTTCAAAATCTTCAGGAAGTTTTCTTTGTTTTGGTAAATGACTGTATAACTCCTGTGTATATAAAACTTTATTTATTTTTAAAGCTTATTTTAGAAATGACATTAAACATGTTTATTATACATGTAAAGTTTCAACATAAAGTTTTTGTTAAGAAATACAATATTTCATTGTAAAATGAATTTGTTAAACATATATAACATAATATGCCTTGATATTTCCTAACTATAACTCTTCTCAAATTTATTTATAACATAAACATGTATTGTATACTTTTGTTAATCATTGTTTAAACAAATAAATAAATCTAACGATAAATATCTTTGAGTGCTTCAGTAAACTATATATAATATCCTATACAAAAATTACAAAATAATTTTTTTTTTTAATTATAATATTTTTGGTAAATATATTATTTCTGATGGTAAATAGCTATTACCTGGGAAACTTCATGATTATGGTTCATATTAAGACTTTTTACTTGCAGATTCTGACCATCTTTGGATTCACGAAGAACCACATTAACTGGACATTTTTGCCTAAATGTTCTATAAAAAATTCAAAAAAAATTTTTTTACAAAAAAAAAATTTAAACAGTTTTGTTAATAATTATCTAAGCAATTTCTACCTATTCTATTTTGGGACACAAAAGTAAAAGAAAGCATTTTTCTAATGCACTTTCTAATGATATTGTTAAAACTAACAGATATGGTTTTACTGATAAAATAGTTGAAGACTACAGGGGAAAAAAGGCACATTTCCACTTTTGAGATGAATGAAATTTTGTCTTTAAAAGTCGCTATGTTTGTCTCTTACCGTATTTCTTTAGGTGTTTCTGTAGCATTGCATAAACCTTTTTTGGGTTAGATTTTACTATTTTGCTAATCTTCAGAGTTATGTTTACATAATAGGGAACATAGCACAAATAATTGGAAAATGTGACATGTGCCCTTTTTCCCCTGAGGTCTTCAGTTTTAAAAGTCTTTTTAAACATAGTTAGAAAGTATCATTTTACAAGTGTAGCAATTGAAGTCTATTAGGCACGTATGAACACCTTTTCAGAATGAAATTCGTAAAATTTTTTGAGTCGCAATAATCATAGTCATAAGAAAGAGATGATCTGGCCATTTGTGATACTTCTTTAATCAACTATTTGTTTGTATTTTTTTAAAGTCCAGTCTGCCACAGAGTGCACAAAAATTATTATAGTCAATTTTTTTGTCTATGAACTGCTTGTTTAAATGGCATTTTCTTCCAATACTTTAAATGCCTGGTGCTAATTGATATATTTATGAATGAATACTTCTAGGAGGCATAAGGGAGTTTCAATATTTAAAGTTACTGCATCTAACGATAGTTTTAATACTTCTTGGAGGGAAAATTTAATAATCACTATTCTTAAAGATTGTATTAAAGATTATATATATATATATATATATATATATATATATATATATATATATATATATATATATATATATATATATATATATATATATATATATATATATATATATATATATATATATATATATATATATATATATATATATATATATATATATATATATATATATATATATATATATATATATATATATATGATGTTTTTTAAAACAAATATTTTTAATTGTAAGATTTTCTATGAAATATTCTTTTAATTTTGTTAAATATTTTTAAATTACTTATTCTTATTTTATATAAATTCTGTACTGTTTATCAGGCATAATTTTTCTGTATGACAACAGCAAAAAAATTATAATCTTTATTACACTTAAAAAAACAATTCTAATGTCTATTTTCAACATCATCACTTCCAACAAGACTGCAAGCAACCACTACTAGAGTTGGAAGTTGCTAAATGAGAAAAGATGAAGATTATTAAGCAAGATAGAGGTTAAGAGACGACTTAAAAGATTGCAAATTATCAGGAAAACCAGATGAAGGGAGAGAGTTCCGAAGAACTGATGTGTGAGGTAAAAAACTAGATGAATAAGAATTATTGAAGCACTTAGGAACAATCACAGAAAAAAGATGAGACTTGATTGAGTGACGAGTAACCTGAGAATGAGTATTAGTAGATGGCACAAGAGATGCTAGCTCCTTAGAGCAGCACCCATTATAGCATTTATAAAAAAAAGAAAGAGAAGCAACATTACGACTCAAAAAGGCACAACTACTACTACTGCTACTACTACTACTAGTACTACTACTACTACTACTGCTGCTGCTACTACGATTACTATTAAGTTCAGCATTATTATATAGATAATTAAATATAAAAGATTTTGTATTAAATAAATCACATAACTTAATGAATCTTTCTAATTAATTTCTAAAAAACTTAAAGTTGTTTTTTGTACAAAACCAAAATTTTTTTCTGATAAAACAAAAACTTTATCAAACATAACAATATTTTTTTGAAATGTTGCAATTTTTTTTAATGCTATTTGCCTCCACAAGGTCGCTCTACATTGAAGGATGCGAATTTTTAAAAGTCGCAAAGACTTGATGAGGATTGAATTTATAACTTTTCGTTTATAATGTCTACATTAATACCCTTCAAAGATTTATACTGACTGCAATAAGTTTATTATATAATTGTTTTTTTAAGTGTAATAAAGATTATAATTTTTTTGCTGTTGTCATACAGAAAAATTATGCCTGATAAACAGTACAGAATTTATATAAAATAAGAATAAGTAATTTAAAAATATTTAACAAAATTAAAAGAATATTTCATAGAAAATCTTACAATTAAAAATATTTGCTTTAAAAAACATCATATATATATATATATATATATATATATATATTATATATATATTTATATATATATATAATATATATATATATATATATATATATATATATATATATATATATCAGGCGCAGATCCAGCATTTTTTAGTCTTTAAGATAGCTAATTTCCAGACATGGAGCGAATTCCAAACATTTATTTGTTTATGCTTATGTCAAATAAGGAAGGTTTGTTAAAAATTGCTATGATTGGAGCCTGGGAACAAAAAACCCCCAAAATTTGAGACGTCCCTGCCCCAAATGTGAGAACAACAAGTTGATAAAATATTTTTTGTAATAATATGGCCATAATTTTTGAACGCTAATATATTTTACAATGAAATTTAAAATTTATAGATAAATATAAGCCTAGTTGAGAATATCACAAAAAATATTTTATCTATTTTTTGCTCTCTATCATCGCAATTTTTGGCTTCATGTGTGGAGCTGTGAAGTTAGGTGATTCAAAGACCAAAAGTCTGTTTTGAGGTTGTGTTGTTGGAAGGTCTTTTGAAGCATTTTTTTTCAGGAAATGTATATTGACCTAGATGTTTTTTAAAAAGTAGAAGAGTTCAGCTATCTTTTTATGTTACTTTTTTGTATATTTATTAAATTTTATAATGGTTTTATTGATTTTGAAAAATGCCCATCTGTTCTAACATGAAATTATTATCTATAGAATTTTGAGTTTTTTTTACACTGCATTATTTTTATACCTATTCTCTATCCACTCATCAAATTTCATTGAAAAAAAATGTATTATAAAACTCAAAATATTTTTTTGTCATAACATTTAATTTGTATATGATATACAAATACTATTTACTATAATATAGTATTTATCATATATACAAATACTATATATTATAATATAATATAGTATACTATAGAAATAAAAAAGTATATTATATACTATATTATATATATAGTATACTATACTATATTATATTGTAATATAAATTGTTGTCAAACAAAACCATATAGTCTGTATGGTTTTAGTTAACAACAACAAAGCAAACAACAGTAATTTATCAATTGCAAGTAACTTTTTTTTAAAACAAAGGAAAGATAGCGAGACAATTATCTAACCAAGTATTTTTATTGTTTTATAAATATACCATAAACACTTTATATATAAATTTTTAGCAATTTTGATAAATGCTAAAAATAATACAAATGATTGGTTTTATTTGTTTAGATGATGATACAAATCAAAGACTGAGTCAGTATTTGTGTTTTTAGTATTTAACTGTTTGTTTCTAGTATTGAGTTATTTTACTTATATGTCAACCTGGTATATTTTGTAATAAAGTAGAATTATAAAGTTAATTTGTTATAATTATTATAATATTTTTGATTAAGAAAATATTAACAAGAATAATTTTTTTATATACTAGGGTAAATTAAACCATCACCACCACATCCATCCTAACTATAAGATACATTTCTAATGTTTCCTTGGGATGAAAAATGCAATAATAACAACTTTTTGTATGAAAAAACCTACTAACTTTTAAGTACACACTTTTATGGATAAAATTTGCATTTATTGGACAGTAAAGGCAGTGGTTTAGTGCCCCCTCTAACTCCCTGGAAGCGCCTGATGACTAGTGACCAACGTAATCACATAGCCCTTTCATACATCTACCTTTAGATACCAAGATGTAGTTTTTTAGATAAGTATTGACAAAATTATAACAATTTTACTGAAGAAAAATTTAATTTTGACCACAGTTTTTTCAACAAATCCATATATCGAAAAATTGGTACTTTAAACATCATAACTTTTGGTAGGTTTGTTGGATTTTGATAATTTTTTCACCTTTAAAATACTGAATTGAAGCTCTTTCTAATGATGTATAACAATGTAGTGTATAATCAATTTAAAAAATTTCATGTCAATACCTATACTATATATACTATATAGTATATATATATATATATATATATATATATATATATATATATATAAATATATATTATATATATATATATATATTATATATATATATATATATATATATATATAATATATATATATATATATTATATATATATATATATATATATATATATATATATCTATATTATAATAT